TCTCTCTCTCTCTCTCTCTCTCTCTCTCTCTCTCTCTCTCTCTCTCTCTCTCTCTCTCTCTCTCTCTCTCTCTCTTCTAGCCCTAGATCGTGGCCCTGGATGCACCCACTCAGGGAAGCTTCCAGCTTGGCGGCTATGGCCGCGGGAACTCCGACTTCACTACCCTAGCTTTGGAGTAGCCCTCAAGCGCCTTCTTCCTCCTCCAGGCGTGATGTGCCCAAGTTGCCTCAACGCACCAGCAGTAGCAGCGCTTCCATCTCTTGCAATTGAACAAGTGATAACCCGCTGCACTGTAGCAGCTAAATATAGAGTTGGACTTGGCTTGGCCTGCTTCAGACCGGTACCGGTCGACCGCGGCCTGTCTGCTCCAATCATTTTGTCGGTCTGGTTGCTTCCGGACTTTCCTGGGACATGCTTGAAAAAGAGGGCTTGGGACTGGATTTTCCTTGTTGGGTACCGGCCTGACTTCTAACGACCTGTGACGTTTTGGTACCGACACCTACGGACCTACGACACTTCAACCCACGGATCCTGAGGACCTACCCTAACGGAACAGCCTGGGACTGGATCCAACTGAGACTGGGACAATTTGGGACCTTGGAACCGGATTCGGGATGTCTGCAGCATGAATCCTTTCACAATGGACAACAGAAACGTATGAATCCATGATCGGGATGTCTGCAGCGTGAATCCTTTCACAATGGACAACAGAAACGTACGAATCCACGTGACAAAGCAAAGACGACAGGCGCAAAAGGTAAGCGAAACATATATCATGCAGAAGATTAAAGTGAAGAGAGAAGAGAGAAAAGAACGAGAGAACAGGAGTGCTACAGAAAGGTATACGCATGTTATAGGACAGCTGTACAACGACGTAGGAAATTACTGGCATATGGCGGGGGTCAACTTCACGGTACATGTCATTTGCACAATTATTTCAATATGCGCTTGCAAAGGAGTTATTGAAAGAATTCTCCTTCCTAAGCCTGCCGTGATTTGATCCCGGGACTTGCCACTGTTGTTGTTGCGTTTCTGCTATCTTGTATGCTTGTGTGATGCTGTTGGAGTTTGAACCTGGGACCTGATGTTGACTTACCTGTGCCCTTATCTGTTGCTATACCCTGTTGTAAGCGTTGACTGTGCTGGCGGAGCCTTGAACCTGCGACCTGCTCTTATGTGCACTTAGTACTGTTCATGCAGTAAGTGTGCCTCCGACAAGTATCCAAAGGCTTCCAAGGGCAACGGGGGAAGTGTCCCCGGGAAAACAAAAGTGCAGAATCCGTTTTTGTGGGGGATTCATTCTGCGTGGTGCTGGTCCGTGAAATCAAGCAGTGCACTGTGTTGTGAAGAAGGCTGCCATAGCTGAAGTAGGGCTATCATGTTGCCATCTGTTAGTTGTTATGTCCTGTTATTTTTGCAGTGGGATCGTGCTGTTGTGTTGAGTGCTCCTAGGAGAGAGCTGTTGCTTGGTGGAGAGTGAGCCATCGAGTAGGAGCACCACTTCGATGTTCAGGGAGAGATCCTTGGCGAGAGAAAGAGGAGAGGAGACATGCTTGTGTACTATGTGTAGTAGAGTCTGCCATACAGGAAGATTTCGTTGAACTCAGGTTGCATCTTGTAGCAACAAGTGGCAGGGTCTGTGTTGTGGGAAGTTTCATTACAGTTTCGAGGAAGAGATCTGCTATTTCGAAGTTGCAAGTGTATGGCATATTTGTGGGTGAACTGTGTGGCGATTTTGAGGAAGAAGGCAAACTTGATCCCCTGTGGTTGATGTGATCGCCATCTCTGCAAGCTCACATGGTTATGGAGGCTGCATGGACGACAGTCTCCTTTCATTATGGAGGCAAGCATCCTCGAGTGGTCCAATAACGGGAGCTTAGTAGAATGTGATTGCTGCCAACGTGTTATACCGAGCTTCCCAACCACACCTCTGTCTGTGTCCTAAATCTTGATGCATCAATAGCACATAATCGTATCTTTAAAAGTATTCCTAGTCACCCTGTGGATAACTTGGATATGTGATAACTTACCTGTGAAGTAGTTGCGTTTGTGGTAAAGGGATGAAAAATCGTTCTTACTACTTCTTAGCCAATTACGTATGGCTATCTTCTCTTCTCGGGTGCTAAACCACTTACGGAGAGGTATAGATGGGTATAGGAGTGGTGTATAGTACTGTATACCCACCCAGGTGGGTGTACGGGAGGGTAGAGCCACTGAGCTGGGTATCTGTGGGTATAGGGGAGGGTATAGCCACCTACATGGGTATAGGCGGGTATAGGTGCGTGTAGGGTATGCACGTACTCTAGCAGTACGTGTGGATAATTGCCCATCCGAATGAAATTTCTTTCTGTATAAATTGCAGAACTTACAAACGATGTTCAGCCTGACTGTAAGAACTCAAGTACTGGGCCAAATGAAGTAGTTTGCTCCTAAAACCATTCATTTGAACAGCTGGTAGTGTTGCCTCATTATGCAGCATTTGAAAAGCAACTATGTCTGTCCCTCCGTCTATCCCTTGTGTCTGGTTATCTGTCTTCACATCTGTCTGTTTGTTTGTCCATCTGTCGGCCCATCCATTTGTCGTTCTGGCCCCCTGCTTGTTGACCCACCTGTAGAGCTGTCTGGCTGACTGGTTGGCTTCCCATCTGTCTTTCCGCAGCCTGTGCACATGCCTGCCTGTGCTCCCACCCACTTGCATGTCTGTCTGGGATGATTTTCAATGTTGCACTTGATTGACTGACTCAAGTTCACGTAAGACTGAGAAGAAACCAGGAAGAGTGTGGATCAGTGAGTTTACAGTATGTTCTCATTTTGGACTTGCTTATTTGCTGATGATAGATGCGAGTGCTACTGTGGAATCTCATTCATCTGATGGTGACGGCCAGCATCATAAAGCTGATAAAGCTGGAGGCAAAGCAAAGACAGTGAAGAAGCAGCCCCTGTTCATTGACTTTTTCCATCCCCCAGAGATCGATGTGAGCTTGTTCCAACCTCCTAAAGATGAGAAAGAGACACTATTTGTGAAGCGAACGGGTGGGAAATCCACTGACAGTTACTTGCTGCCTGATGATCATCACTATGATCCATTGCGCCTCATCTCGCTGGACCTCCGACCAAATGTCATGGTGAGTGGTTTGCACAGTAGTTTTCTCCCTTTCCAGACCCAGCTAATGTGGCTTTCCTTCTTGGCATTAAATTCTGTCACCACCATCATCACCATCATTATCACTATCATTTATCCTCCTCTTCCTCGTCCTCGTCCTCCTCCTTTGCCTCTGCTATCTTATTGTTGTGGAGATCAGGAACGGATCAAACAGCAGCCTGTCTCGTTTCCTTGCCGTCCTCGTCTTCCTCGTCTTCCTCGTCTTCCTCGTCATATCTTGTTCTCCCCTCCCTCCTCCTCCGGACACAACTGTTCTTGTGTATGCAGCTGCTCCTCGTATGTCTTTTTGTTGAGATTGTGGACAAATACAGTGTTCGATGAAGAGCGCCACTCTCAGCAAGCTCTCACAGAAATGCGGCAATTGTGCTTTTGATACACGGATGCAGACATTCAAATTGGGATTAACGGTCTGATAGATGTTGACAAAACAGCATGTTCCACAAGTTGTAAATGTTTAGTGGCGATTCTACCTATGGGGCAAACCTCAGGTTTGAACTTAGCAGAGAAGCCTGCGATGCTAGGAGCGTAGCAGATTCATTGTCCACTGGACTTCTTCTTCTTCTTCTTCTTCTTCTTCTTCTTCTTCTTGCTAGTTATGTGTATTCTGTGCATTTATCAATTGGAGGTGAGGATATGAAATGACAGGATAGTAACTCTAGCTCATTCGGTCCAGGAAATGTGCACTGAAATTTCCACACTGAAGGGGGAGGCAGATTCTGTATTTTGTGTATGTATCTTTAGTGCCGTTCTTAAAGCTGAAGTCAGATAAACGTTAGAAATGGTAACGTAAAAATAAAAGGGTGGCACACTGGCAGCACAAAGGAAATTTGGGAACATCAGAATATGTTCTAGACTTCCGTAGTCTCTGGCCAACATACGCCATATTCTGTAACTGCAAACGTTGGCTACGGTCTGCTTTACCAGTATTTGGGGCAGCTTTCAGTCTACATACAGCGGTAATGACCATGTGTTCTATTCAGGTGAAGCTGTATGTTAACCTATCCGGGCCCATCTTCAAGTCCAAGCCTGTGGGTTCACTCCTATGGAAGCTGGTATATTGATACCAGTACCTTTCCCAAACTTTCCCAGAGTCTACTACTTGTCCCGTCCAGAAAACTTTGCCAACTTGAAATGTCTCCTTTCCTACGAACGGAGGTCCGTGTATGACGGAGTGCCTCCTCCAGACTTCTCCGTGCTCTCATCAATTACTAACTGTCCCATCTGGAAGAGCACTTTCATCAATTACTACACTATCTCGTCTGGAAGCGCACAATCAGGATCATAAAAAAAAAAAAAAAAAGAGTAGAATCAGGAGGGGAATGTGTTACCAGTTGCAGTGTTGAGCGCATCGGCTTCCGCCTTTTGGCGGACGCCTTTTGGCGGAAACCTCCCGCACTCGTCATTCAAGATTTTTAGAATTAAGCTTAGACCCCGAGCCATCCAGGTGCGGTTCTTGCTGCTCTAGCCAGATGCACCAGCTGACCTCTCACAGTCCCCTGCGACAGGACAGGTTCTCACGAGGCACAATTTTTCCTACCTGAGAACTGTCACCACCCTTAGGGGCGTATGCCTACCGAGCTACTGACCCATGTATGAGTGCTTTAAACTGCTTTTACATGCAATCGCAGTGCAATCAGACTCACTTTCATTTCCACTTCGCATACATGCATACAGATGGCGATTCACACTGGCGCAGTGCGCCCACTCAAAGCTCAGAGATATGGAAAACGAGAACACAGTTCAGATGCAAAATCATTTTGACAAACTATGGCGCTTCAGCGCATGCACACAAACTACTGGCGATGACTACGATCTCGCTCTTCAGCCCACTTCGACTTCGGGCAACCTGCAAACCACCTTCGCACAAGACGCTGTAGCAGCACTTCCGCATGGCTTACGCAGCAAATGAATGAATGGCTCGGTGCTGCCTCTTGATTTATATTTCTGTAACTCGTTGGTCTGCCCTTTTCCATCGAGCCAAAGGTGCACACAGTCCCTCATGGTACTTGCTGACTGTGCGAAGTGAGACTGGGACTGGGTACCGCTGACTAAGCGAAGTTGGACTCACCACTTGCCCATTTGCCTCTGACTAAACGTGAGAATTCTCGAAAGGCCACTTCCGGACCTTCCGGAAGTTTGTGGTCTTGGCCTTTTGGGACGGTAGCAGCTACGACCTTGACCTTTCAGGACTGTAGCAGCTACGACCTTGACTGCGTGAGGTTGCACTGCCGACTCAACGCAGTTGGGCCTGCGACTCACCTACAGACCTCTAGCCTAGCAGTTTTGACCTCTACACAGCTATGACCCCTACTTGACAGACCTACAGATCGAACCCCTACAACTACACAGACCTACGACAGACAAACAAACAACTACCGAAACACAGGTCGCGGGTTCAAACACTCGGGGGTCAGCTCGATACTGTACATGGGTWAGGTGAGGTCTGGGGATCGAACTCTAGGGCCCGCATCTGTGACTGCAGAAAGGTGAAAACCGTTTCACTCCCGCCGGCCTAAATTCGAGGTCCTCCGAGAATACTTCAGTCTAAAGCAGGACCTTTACCTTTCTTGTCTCTTTCGTAAGCTCTGACTATGTTGGGAGCTGTCTCTAGAAGTTCTGTTCGTGTGAACCAGCGGTCGTCTTCTGGCTCCTGAAAGGAAAATCTGACTTTGTAATGTTTCTATGGACGACCTCTACCTCCTGTCCTGAAGACATCCTCACCTACTATACCATCAATGTCGTATCTTCCGTCCATATCCAGAGGCATCATGGATCTGCGTCATGGAAACTGTTGACTTGTGACACAAGGCAACAGATTTGATGCATGGAACACTGGGTAGGTGTGGAGGTGTGCTGGAATCTCAGTAGTATAGGACGGCCCATCCTCTCAGCCCTTGACTTCTAAGACTGGCCACGGTCCTTTATATGCAGGCAGTAACTTCTGTGAGAGGTTTTTCTCAGGAGCGAACTCTTTTGACTTGACTCGGACGAAGTCGCCTACTTGAAACTGTGAGGGGCGATGGTGCTTATTAGCTTGTTTTATCATTCTGTGTTGGGTTTTCCTGAGGTTATCAGCAACGGTAGCTATCTCTTTCTCGTGCTGTATCGCAAACTCTCGCGTACCGGGCGGTAACCTCTGAATCTGATCCCGGTTAAGTCCTTCAAATGGTCTGCGCGGTCTAAATGACTTATGCAATTCGTTGGGAGTGTGACATGTGGCTAAGTGCACGTTGTTTTTGTATGCGCTGGCTACCTTTGGAAGCATCTCATCCCAGTTGATCTGGTCGGGCCTAATGTACATTCTAAGAACTTGCTGCAGGAGCTTGCTATTCTGTTCAGTCTGACCGTTAGTCTGAGGATGATGGCCAGATGACATCGACAACTTGGAGCCATAGACTCTCATTAGTTCCTGCCAGTTTTGGCTGGTGAACCTGGTATCTCTGTCACTGACTATCGACAACGGTATCCGTGCCTCTGCAGGCAAAGGGATAAAAACTGCATACTTGCTAAATCTATCTACTATAACCATGACTTGACTTTTGCCATGTCTACTCTTGACCCCAGCATCCATAAATTCAATGGACAAAGAATCTCCGGGTCTGTTAGGAAAAGGCAAGGGTCTGAGAAGACCAAGAGGGGCTCGCATAGTAGTCTTATTTCTCTGACTGACTTTACAACTATGTACATACTCTATGCAGTCGGCCTTTATACCGGGCATATATACGCGCGCATGAGGTTGGCTACTGTCTTTTTCCAACCAAAGTGTCCCTTTGTGTCGTGGCATTCCTCTAAGATCAGACTACGGATCTCCTCACTGTAAGGGACACACAGACGGTCAACTACATTAGTATTCTCAAATAGCAATCCATCAGTAGTGCGGTAGTCTGGTTCAGACTTTGGGGCCTTCGTAACTCTCTTGAGGAGGTCACTATAGATAGGATCCTGCGCATATGCTTCTCTAGCTTTTTGTTGCAGATCTCTCCCTATATCCAGATAGTGAACTATCTCTCCAAAGTAGTTAGCTCTCCTACTCAGGGCGTCCGCAACTACATTGTACTTCCCTTTGACTGGCTTAAGTTCAAAGTCATACTGGTCTAAGTCTGCGGCCCACCTAGTAAGCTTAGGTGTCATCTTGGCTTGTGTCTTTAACCACCTTAGAGTCTCGTGGTCTGAATAGACTTTGAAGTGCCTTCCAAGCAAGTAATGTTTCCAGTGCTCTAGTGTTTGCCTGAGAGCGTAGAGTTCCCTCTCATAGGTGGATGTCGCTACCTTCTCCGAAGGCATCTTGGCATACATGAACTCTACGGGCCTATATCCATTGCCATCGTCTTGCTATAAAACAGCACATATGCCATACTGACTAGCGTCAATGGTAACAACGAAAGGCAGGGACGGATCGACTACCTTAAGGGCTGGACACTATCAAAGCCCACTTTAACTTCCTCAGGGCTGATGTAAAGTCCTTGTCCCACTTCCAAATTGCTTCTTTCTTTAGCAACCTGAGAAGTTCTTGACGAACTTCCTATAATAATTGGCTAGGCCTAAGAACGAATGCAACTCTCTGAGCGTGCGGGGCGTTGGCCAATCTCTAATCGCTGCTATCTTGCTATCTTCAAGTTTTATGCCGTCTCCGTCTAAGACGTGGCCCAAGTACAAAACCTGTGTCTTGGCCCATTCACACTTTTTTGCGTTGATCTTGAAGTTAGCTTCTCTAAGTTTCTCCAAGACCTGCCTCAGATGGCCCTCATGCTCCTGCAGGGTCTTGCTAAAAACTAGAATATCATCCAAGTACACTACCACGAATCTATCTAACCACGGCCTAAACAAATCATTCATACAACGCTGGAATGTAGTTGGCGCATTGGTTAGTAAAGGCATCACTATGAACTCATAATGCCCATATCTAGTCCGGAATGCTGTCTTACACTGATCATCAGGATAAACCTCTATCTGATGATAGTT